CTCCACACAGGCCAGGAGAGCCCGCGCCCCGCCCGCTGGCCCCGCCCCGGAAGTAGGGCCCTCTGAGAGCCCGCCTTCCGACCCGGAACCAAAATACCCTCTCGAGTCGAGGCCCTAGGGTGGCGGGATGAACACCCGGGACCTCACAGGATAAATGCATCCCCATCCCGGTGCCAAAACGAAGACATCAATCTAAATTGAGGTTCGGACAGGGATGCGAGATAAGTGTACTGGGAGCCTGGAGTAGTGGTGCAAGTCTCTCAAACCAGCCCTCAGGAGAAGGCAGAAGGAACAAGAGTTCAAGGTCGCCGGGTGGTGATGGTGCACGCCTTTAATCCCAGCACTCAGGAGAGAGAGGCAGGAGGATCTGTGTGAGTTCGAGACCAGCTTGATCTACAGAGCTAGTTCCAGGACAGGCTGCAAAGCCACTGAGAAACCCTGTCTCAAAACCCTCGCACCCAAAAAAAGAGTTCAAGGTCATCCTTAAACTACTTAGTGAGTTGAATACTAGATTGGAATATTTAAGACCCTGTCTTAAAGAGACGGTTGGAAAAGTGGGCCTGCAGAGCCTGGCGGCACAGGCTTTAATCCCAGCATTCAAGAGGCTGAGTCAGGAGCCTGAGCTGCAGAGTTCAAGAGCTGGGGTGTAGCTCAGTGGTAAAGCACGTGCCTTACATGCATGAGGCCAGAGCTTCAACTCTCTGTTCCAACAAAAACAAAAAGTGAATCCAGAGCCATTCTGGGCAACTTATTGAGACTCTCAAAACAAAAAGTAAAATCAGGGCTGTGTATGCAGCTCTCAGGGGTAGCATTCCAAAGCCCTAGGTTCAAGCTCCAGCATCAGAGAGAGAAAGAGACTGTGTGTGTGTGTGTGTGTGTGTGTGTGTGTGTGTTGGGCCAACTTAACAGATAAGGAATCTCTGAAGGTCTCTCTTTTAGGCCAAGCCGAGGATAGGTATTCCAGGAGAATAAGATGCAAGTCCGTACCAGGAAGGGTTGGTTGGAGCAAGAAGTGAGTGTTGAGGAGGATAGAGAAAGCTGGGGAAGCCCTTTTGTGCGTTCCTGCCTGCCTTTTGATGGATGGGGGAATGGAAGGCCATTGCAAGAATTTAAGCAGAGTGATGAAATCAGAATTGGACTAAAGGTGTGTTCCTTTAGCCGAACACTCAGGAGTCAGAGGCAGGTAGATCTCTTGAGTTCCAGGCTAGCTTGGTCTACAGAGTGAGTTCCAAGACAGCCAAGGATACACAGAGAAACCCTATCTCAAAAAACAAAAAGAAGATCATGAGGAAGCAGAAATTTTGAGTCAGGTGTAGATTAGAAGAAAGGACATATAATAGGTAGGATTTTAGTTGGGGGGGTGATGGAAGAGGAAGGGAGGGAGAAGGGAACTGGGATCATCATGTAATTCAATCTTGTTTGTAATTCAAATATATAAAAAAGAAAAAAAACAAAAAGGAAAGAAAGAAAGTCACAGGCTGGGGAGATAGCTCAGTGGTTAAGAGCACTGGCTGCTCTTTGAGAGGACCCGGGTTCAATTACCAGGACCCACATGGCAGCTCACAACTGTTGTAACTCCAGTTCCTGCGGATGAAAACACTAATGCACATTAAAAAATAAATAAATTTTAAAAACACTTCACTTGCATTCCTGGTCTGGTGGTGAACACCTTTAGTTCCAGCACTCTTAAGATGGAGACAGAAGAATCTTGAGTTATGGCCTGAAGGAACGCTTGTCTCAAAGAGAGAGATCACTTCCTAGAATGAGAATGAATTGTAATAGAGCTGGGAGAATGGCTAGGGAGATGTGATAACTATCCAGGCAACTCTGTAGATGACAGTGAGAGAAAGGGCTGGGATGCTGTGAGAACACAAGTGTTACATTCACAGCATCTAGGTAGTTCAGGGTTTTGCCCTATTTTAAAGCTGGGCTTGAAACACTTTATTTTTCCCCTGCTAGGTATGAGGCTGACTGGAGTCATCCAGCCTGGGTATCTTAGAGACACTCTTTATCAGAACTATAAAAATAAAGAGCTAGAGGCTATATAGCTCAGTAGAAACATATGTGTGAGGCCCTGGATTTGATTCTCAGTGATATAAAGAAAAAAGAGGTGACTAAGCCGTGGAGGCTTCCCTTCTCCAGTGGGCTTAAGCTCCTGGTGAAATTTCACATGGGTTTAGCTAACTTCTTCCACCTGTGAGGGAACAGCCAGAAAACTCTCACCAGATGCTGGCCTCTGAGAAAACTCTCACTTGATGCTGAGGCAAACAGTGTGGTGGTGTAGCTCATGCATACCTATAGTCCTATACCAGTGGCCAGGCAGGAGAATTAAGAGTTCAAGGCTAGCTTATAAAGAAGGAGATACATTTCAGTATGTTCTACATTACCAAGCCTCAAATGTTCTGTTACAGTTCCACAGACACAATAAGACAATAATTCTCTGGCTGTTACCCTGCTCTGACTTGGTTTCTCCCTCTCTGTCTCTGTGTCTCTGTCTGTCTGTCTGTCTGTCTGTCTGTCTCTCTCTCTCTCTCTCTCTCTCTCTCTCTCTCTCTCTCTCTCTGTGTGTGTGTGTGTGTGTGTGTGTGTGTGTGTGTGTGTGTGTGTGTGTGTGTGATGTAAGCTGGAGGTTGAACCTAGGACCTTGAGCATGGTAGGCAAGTATTCTACCACTAGCCACATCCTCAGCCCCGACAACATCTGTAAGATGGAGGTAATAATTGTCTACCTTCCTTATAGAATTTTGTTTGTGTGAAAGGACTTGGAGAAGTCTCTAGCACCATTAAGCCTACATAAGTGATCACACACACCTGCACCTGAGCTAAAAACAGTACCAGGTTCATGTTTGTCACAATTAGCAACGACACATGCATTTGTGTAAGCATTCTGATGTCTTCTGGGAACCTAGAGAGCCTGTGCATTATACACCGAACTGACCTGGCTTCTCCTAGTTACAAAAAAAAAAAAAAAAATCACGGGTTAACCTTGCTTCCTTCAGCTATCTATCAGGAGAGTCTGGAGTCTGGTTTGTCCTGAAGTACACCTTTTCTGTGATTGCCTCCGTTGAAACATGACACTCTGGGACTATAGAGACTCTTTTTTTTTTTTTTAAGAGAGAATCAAAACTTCAATCATAAAACCAAAGAAACTTCCACAGTTAAGTTCCCAACGATAAGATGGGGAATGGGTCTGATGTAAAGAGTTTTCAGAATTAAAGGACAGAAAGCTATATTCCCAGCGGATATACAGTCATCCTAAAGATATCAAAAGCATCAGCTCTCCCTGTAACAAAGGTTCTCAAAATGGCTTTATACCAGACAGGTTCATTCTTTAGAATGAGTTGGTTTCTCCATCTCTGTGACACTCCCCGAAGCCGTTGGCACACTGTTGTTATAGTCACTCGTTTTCGTGGTGACAAGAATGGTAGCACCCTCCTCCATGGCTGGAAGCGGGAAGAAATGGTCAGAATCAGCCTTTGGGTTGCTGTTGACACAGTCCTCACAGGTACAGTCTTCCACTGTACACTCCAGGCTTCGGGGAAGAACCCTGACGTCACCAACCCTGCTGTGCATCAGGTCATTATTGGCCTTGTCCAACAGAACGGGTCCTGATGATACAGAAACAGGCATTCACTTGAAGATCACAGTGGTACTGTCATAGCATGCATGGCAGAACACAGAGAAAGCAGCACAAGACCAAGAACAAGTGCATCCTATGCCAAGAGTCACTAAGACCCCACCCCAGAAATGTGGCCCTGAGGCAGGTTGCTTTTTGCATATATGGAGTTTTAAAATTTTGTCTTATGTTGACCACATTTAAAACTCACACGGAAATGTATGAAACCAGACTCTATACAGACTACAAAACCTGACAATAGGAGGAACATGGAGACAGTGGGCTGGGGTCAACCATAGCAGCTTCTGCCTCCAAGCAGGTGATCGGTGCCCTTGTTGGCAAAGCCACAAACTGGTTGGTCCATATACTTATTACCCACTTGGCTCTTGCAAGTTCTGAGGGTTTGACCTCATCTTACACAGGAAATTAACACATGTCACAGCACATCAGTCAGCCTATGAGTGGCATTTTACAAAAGCAAAAGCTGGGCATGGTGGCACGCACCTGTAATCCAGCCACTCAGGAGGCTGAGGCAGGGAGTTTGGAGCCAGCATGTTCAAGAAAGGCCCTGAGTCTAATCCTCAATACCACAAGGGGAAAGAATACAGAAGGGCTTCTTTTTTTGTTGTTTTGTTTTATTTTGTTTTAAAGATTTTATTTATTTATTATGTATACAGTCTTGTGCCTGCATGCCAGCAGAGGGCACCAGATCTCATTCAGGGTGGTTGTGAGCCACCATGTGGTTGCTGGGAATTGAACTCAGGACCTCTGGAAGAACAGCCAGTGCTCTTAACCGCTGAGCCATCTCTCCAGCCCCCAGAAGGGCTTCTTAAGTTTTTTTTGTTTTTTGTTTTTTTTAATTTGTGGTGAGAGGAGTCACATCACAGTGTACTGTGACTGTCAGGACAGCTTATGGAAGTGGATTACACTCAGCCTAATCAGGCTTGTCAGCAAGTACCTTTATCCACTGAGCATCTCATCAACATTCAAGACGTGTACTGTGTCCTAGTTTTTCTGATATGACATCTTATGGAGCATTTTTCAGTACATTAATGTGGGGTCTGTGTGTGTGTGTGTGTGTGTGTGTGTGTGTGATATTCTGTAGCCCAACTTAGCCTAGAACTCAATGTAGCCCAGGCTGGCCTTCTATTCATTTTTTTCTATAATGTGTGTGAGTGAGTGTTGCATGTAGGCATGTGTGCCATGTATGTGCCTGGTACAGAAGTGTTGGATCCCCTGGAACTGAAGTTATAAAAGATTGTGAGCTGCCATGTGGATGCTGGAAACCACACTGTGATCCTCCGTAAAAGCATCAAGTGCTCTTAGCCACTGAGCCCTCTCTCTAGCTCATGACCTCAAACCATTAGTGACCCTTCTGCTTGCTTCAGCCTCCAGAGAACTGATATTACAAATGAGGACCATACTCCTGGATAATTCATTTTTCAATGAATTTCCTTTGATCCCATATAGAAGTCCCCAATTTGTCTCCAATACACATCTGTGAAGAATGGGTTTTTTAAACCACTTATTGGTCCAGCTGTGGTGGTGCATGCCTTTAATTCCAGCTCTCGGGAGACAGAGGCATGCATATCTCTGTGAGTTTGAGGCCAGCCTGTTCAACAAAGTTCCAGGACAACCAGGACTGTTACACAGTGAAATCCTATCTGGGGGGGGGGGGCGGTGGCATCAGGCATCTGTAATCCCAGTTCTATATGAGGTTAGAGGCTGAGACAGGAGACTCACCCCAGAAGTTTGAAGACAAGCTATCTTGGAGATCAAAGTATAAGAAACAAAAGGGACCCTGCGCCTCAAAGTAACTCCTGAAAGTTGTCCTCTGACCACCACACATGCTGTGGTATGCACCTACACTTTCTCACACACAAAAGATCAAGTTTCTGCTCCCCAACATTCCACAGTGACTTTATCTTCTAAAACATCTCTTTCAGGGAGCTGGAGAAATGGCTTAGCCACTTAAAGCACTAGGTTGCTCTTGCAGAGGACATGGGTTTGATTCCCAGCAATCACTTGGTGACTCACAATTGTCTGTAACTCCAGTCCCAGGGGACTCTGGCTCCTAGGGAGAATGCACATATGTGGTATACAAGCATGAGGTAAAACACGCATATACACAAAATATAAATAAATAAATAATAAAACATCTCATTCGGAGTTGCTCTAGAAATATACTAAAGGGCAGGGGGCGGGGGGCTGACAACTGCCTGGCCTCACTTCCATGTGGACCTAAAGAAACTGCTTACAGAAAAACAGCAGAATGTTGGTTCCCAGACACAAGGAGGTGGGGAAATGAGAAGCAGATGGTCAGAAGTCCAGAGTTGCAGTTATGTAAGATGAGTCTTCAGAGCCAGCCTATGACTATGACTGGATGATACTGTGGTGCTGCAAATAGCAGAGTAGATTCCAACTAGCCTCACCACCAGGAAGAATGCTGAAGGGCCGGGGATGGGGTTCAGTTGGCTCACTCAGCTAGCACTCACAAGAAGCCCTGGATTCAATCCCCAGAACTTCACAAACCAGGCCTGTTGGTGCACACCTGTAATGCCAGGTCTGGTGAGATGGCCACGTGAGGACCAGAGAGGTTCAAGGTCATCCTGAGCTACATAGTCCAAGGCCTGTCACCAAAAATGGTCAACTATGTAAGGATGTGGATGTGTTGTTTGTTCGACTGTAGTCACTGTTTCCCTATGTGTCTGTAATCAGTACATTATGTCATGTAGTACTTTACATATGTACACCTTTAAACCCACAGGCAGGCAGATCTGTAAGCTCAAGTCCTGCCTGGTCTACAAATCGAGTTCAGGACAGCCAGGGCTACACAGAGAAATCCTGTCAAATAAATAAATAAAATCATTCTAGGGCTAAAGAGCTGGCTTAATGGTTAAGAGCCAGTACTACTCTTCCAGAGTTCAGTCCCTAGCAACCACCTGTAACTCCAACTACAGGGGGATCCAATGCTCTATCCTGCTATCCAAAGACACTGTACTCACATGTACAAAGCCACTCTCAGACATGCACAAATACACTCAACTTTAAAAACAATTAAAATTCTTGCCTCCCAGACCACGTGGGAGCCAGAAGAGTGAGTGAATTACCCACTATACCCACTGCACTAGAAAGCAATGGAGTAGATGGCTTGCAGTGTGTGCATGGAAAACAAATTCATAAAGAAGCAGGACAAGGGCTCAGAAGATGACTTAGTGGGTATAAGAACGTGCAAACGTGGGGCTGGAGAGATGGCTCAGAGGTTAAGAGCACCGACTGCTCTTCCAGAGGTCCTGAGTTCTGGTGTGCAAATAAACATGGAAGCAGAATTTTGTATATATAATAAATAAAATCTTTAAAAAAAACATACAATCGTGAGGATCTGAATTTAAATCTCTAACACTCTGGTAACAAGCACATACCCGTAACCTCAGCATGTAACCTCCCAATGGCAGAGATAGGAGCTAGGTAACACAGCTGCAACAGCATGCCTCTGATCCACTGAGAGACCCTATCTCATGATAACAAGGTGAAGAACAATAGAGGAAGATACCTGATGTCCTGCTCTGACCTGATGAGCAAGTGCATACTCACATTCATGCACCACACACACCAAAAGAAAAAAAGTAATAAAAAAAGATGCAGGACAATGGCTGCTGTGTGTCTTGAAAATCAGGTCACGGGGAACAGTGCTATAAAAATATTTTTAGCCTAAGAGGCTCTCAGGTGGAGCTTTAACTTCTCTGAGACTGGTACTCTGTTGCCTAATAATTATTCTTGAGATGGTTAGTGAATCCAGGAGCAACTGGTTATTCATTTCTAGCACTTGGGGCAGCAAAATGTTCACATGCAAACAGTGCTTATGATTATATTTAAAACATGACCAGGGATCTTGCCAAATACAGTTATCCTGAGAGTACCTGGCTATTGTTGTGTGATAACGGAGTATCTCATCAGTGTTCTAACTACAGTGAAAGACACTTACCAAGCAAGCCTCAAGAGCAATTACCAAGAGAAGAACTGGGGGAAATGGGCATTGAAAGGAGACCTGCAAAGTAGCTGTCAATGCCAAGATTTCTCTGTTGTTTGTTTGTTTGATTGTTTGTGAGGGCATTGGTGGTTGTTTTTTTTATATATATATTTTGTTTGAGACATGGTCTCATGTAGCCCGAGCTGATCGAAAACTCCATATGTAGCTGAGGACGAACTAGACCTTAACCCCTTGGATCCTTCTGCCTGCCCTACCCAGGTGCTAAAATGACAGGCATGTACTACCACACCCAGCTCAAAAATTCAACTATCCACTAACACATTTGAAAGTGCTGTAGCCAAAAAAAAAAGTCAAAGTTAAAAAAAGAAAAGGAAATGAAACTTGGAAGAGCCACCCCTACAGAAATAGATTTCTAAGAGTCACCATCAAACTGACCTGGGTTTTGAAGTTTGTCCTTCAGTGCTTCAGAATTCATCTTCCTCAGCAAGAACGTGAGCGCAAAAAGTACCAAAGAAACAATCAAGGTCAAGCCCAAGAAGGTCCAAAGAACAATTTGTACCCCTTTCGTTGAACCTGTCACACCTTTATTAAAAGAACATCACAGAGATCAGTACTCAAATCAAGTATGAATTTTCTAACACTCAACTCCCCTATTGCATATTCATGAACACCTTACTTTGGGGGTAGGTCAGGCTGGCCTCAAACTCATCTGTAGACCTTGGCTATGGATGAGTCCACCTCCTATGTAAGTGCTGGGATTACAGATCTGCAGCAACATGACTATAAATACTGCTGCAGAGCCCAGGGCTGTGTGTGCACCAGCCAGGCACTCTACCAACTCATCTACAACTTGGCTCCTTTTTTGAAACAGGATTTCACTGTAGCCCAAGCTGCCCTGGAATTCACTATATAGTTCAGGCTAGCCTCAAATTTGAGTGGTTCGACACCCCTTGGGGTTGTTGAATAATCCTTTCACAGGGGTCACATAAGATAATTGACATTATGATTCATAACAGTAGCAAAATTACAGTTGTGAAGTAGCAACAAAACAATCTTAATGGTTGGGAATCACCACAACCTGAGGAACTGTACTAAAGGCTTGCAGCATTGGGAAGGTTGAGAGTGAGAACCGCTGCTCTGGAGGCTTAAAAGCCCCCCTCCCTGGCTTCACCAACATTGACTTTTAATTTCTAAATGTCCTTCAGTTAAGAGCTGATGAAATCGCCATCACTATTGGTGCTAAATAAAATGGAATTTGGATCTGAACAATTCCTTTGCTCCAGGAGACATCTAAATTATTGCTTGATTTCTGGTTTTGATTCAGGAAAACGAAACAAAAATAATCTCCCACCTTCTCTGTTAGATAAATAGGCACTATCAAGAATGCCTCCCAACAAGAAGCAGCTATTGAAGAGTCTCACTTACTTGGATTACAGTAAGGCTGACAGGGTACGGGAGGGCTGGAACATCGAAGGTGGCAAGGTTTGCAAGTGTGCAGCAGACTGTCAAAATATTCACTGTGGAAGCACTGCGGAGCCATGTGGGACTTGATCACTGAAATAAATGGAAACAGCAGACAGAACAGCATGGAGGACAAACAAATTCTCAGCAAGAGTTCCCCGTGGACAGCGGTCAGCGATGTTGAGGGGGAAGGAATGACCCCTGCCCTTGTTGGCTCTTATGAGGGCTGTAGGTATTATGGCAGAGGATTTGAATACCTCTCTGGGTCTCTGTTTCTAAGAGGCTTGGGTGGGGCAGTGAGGGGTATATTACAACAAACGTACCTGAAACAGAAACTGCCTATTTATAGAGGAAATTTCTCACACAGGTGACAGTTGCATGAGGTGGACAAGTCTAGGGTATCAAGCAGAAAGTGCAGTAGCCATTTATGGACCACCTATTTGTGGGCTGTACCATGTGATAGGAGACAGGCAAGATGAAGACTGTGTCCCATACACACTTAAAGTCAATAGGGAAGGCAGACCATAGTCTGTAACTGGAGGGCCGTAGCAGCTGACTGAAGGGAAATTGGAGGGAGGAATCAGTCAAATATGACAACTGATAGTCATATTTCGCAGCTGGGATTAAAGCAAGAGGCTTAAAGGAAGATTGTTTGTGGGCATTCTGTCATGACAATAAAATCCATCCTACTTGAGGATGGTGGTGCACCTTTACTTCCAGACTTCTGGAGGAGAAGCAGGCAAATCTCTGTGAGTTTGAGGCCAGCCTCATCTACCAGGACTAAATAGTCAGTAAAACATCAATCCAGTATACATCCATGAAAAGAAATGGGTCTTTACCATCTCCCAAAAAAATGCTTACAGACTTGAATTGATTGATGACTTATGAATATACATCATATCCTTTATGATCCTGCAATGTCAGGGTTAAGGATTCAAGATTGAGTGTCCTTTGGGTACATGCCTAAAATCCCAATTTATGAGACAGAGGCAAGAGGGTCTCAAGTGGAAAGCCAGCCTGGGTTACATATCAAAATCCTATCTCAAAATTTTTTTCTTTTTCTTTCTTTTTTTTTTTTTTTGCATTTTCAAGATAGGGTTTCTCTGTGGCTTTAGAGGCTGTCCTGGAACTAGCTCTTGTAGATCAGGCTGGTCTCAAACTCACAGAGATCCGCCTGCCTCTGCCTCCCAAGTGCTGGGACTAAAGGCAAAAAAATAAATTTTTAATTGAAGCTGGGCATGGTGGCATGCACCTATAGTCACAGCCACCTGGGCAGTGAATTCAAGGCCTGCCTGAACTACACTGTAGCAAACTTGTCATAAAACTACATGACTGGGGGCTGAAGAAATGGTTCAACAGTTGCACTGGCTGTTCTTCCAAAGGACCTGGGTTTGATTTCCAGCACCTACATGGAGGTTCACAACCATCTATAACTCCAGTCCCAGGGGATCCAATGCACTTGCCTGGCCTCCATAGGCACCAGGCACATACATGGTACATAGATATACATATGGGCAAAACACCTATACACATAAAGTAAAAATAAATATATTTTAAAAAAATACTGATAGGGGCCGGGCAGTGGTGGCACATGCCTTTAATTTCAGCACTTGGGAGGCAGAGGCATGTGGATCTCTGTGAGTTTGAAGCCAGCCTGGTCTACAGAGACCAGGACAGGCAAGACTACACACAGAGAAACCCTGTCTGGAAAAACCTAAATAAATAAATAAATACATGATTGGATCCATATCAATACCTTATTCTAGAAACTTAAATGGTTTGTGTGGGTACATGTTGCAAGCCTGGAAGGATACCATGTGGAACAGAATATTATATATTAAGTCTAGAAAGATGACCCAATGGTTAAGAGTACTTTCTGGGCAATCATGAGAAGCAGAGTTGGAATCCCATCACCTACATATCAAGTTGGATGTCCGATGTACATTATAGCTCCATGGGGGACCTATGGGTTTACAGGAAGGCTGAGAAAACACAAGAAAACACAACTCTCTCATCTAGGGAGAGTTCTTGTCTCAAAGGAATAGTAAAGAGTCCTACCTGTCCTGTGGCATGCATAGGCACATGCACCTGCATTCACATGCATAAACAGAGAAATACAAAAATTAAATATATAAATCTTTCTTAAGTTTAAATGTAAATATACCTTGGTAGCACAAGTCTTTAATCCCAGCTTTCAGGAGACAGACAAGCAGATCTCGATGAGTTCAAGGCCACACTGGTCTACACATTAAATTCTAGGACAGCCAGGGTTATGTCTCAAAAAAATAGTAAGACTAAATAATAATATGATGTCATTGACTTTAATACATTTATTTTTCCTTCATCTTTAATTTAAATTAGAAACAAGACAGTTTTACATGTCAATCCCAGTTCCCTCTCACTCCCCTCCTCCCCTGCCCCCCACCTAGCAGCCCCCCCATACCATTTCTGATCCCCAGGGAGGGTGAGGCTTTCCATGGGGGGGGGTCCTCAGAGTTTGTCATATCCTTTGCAATAGGGCCTAGCCCCTACCCCATGTGTCTAAGCTGAGGGAGTATCCCTCTATGTGAAATGGGCTCCCAAAGTCCATTCCTATGCTAGGGATAAGTACTGACCTACAACAAGAGGCCCCATAGATTTCCCAGGCCTCCTCACTGACACCCACATTCACGGAGTCTGGATAAGTTCCATACTGGTTTCCCAGTGATCAGTCTGTGGACCAAGAGCACCCCCTTGTTCAGGTCAGCTGTTTCTGTTGGTTTCACCAGCCTGGTCATGACCCTTTGCTCATCACTCCTCCCTCTCTGCAACTGGATTCCAGTTCAGTTCAGTGTTTAGTTATAGGTATCTGTTTCTATTTCCATCAGCTGCTGGATGAAGGCTCTAGGATGGCATATAAGTTGGGGGAACATACATGAGCCACTCCTCCCTCTCTGCAACTGGATTCCAGTTCAGTTCAGTGTTTAGTTATAGGTATCTGTTTCTATTTCCATCAGCTGCTGGATGAAGGCTCTAGGATGGCATATAAGTTGGGGGAACATACATGAGCATAATAAAAACAATATACAGTAAACAAACAGCCAACATCAAACTAAATGGATAGAAAGCGTGATTCCTCTAAAATCAGGAACAAGACTAGGCTGTCCATTCTCTCCATATCTCTTCAAATATTGTGCTTGAAGGGCTAGCTAGAGCAATAAGACAACAAAAGGAGATCAAGGGGATACAAATTGGAAAGGAAGAAGTCAAACTTTCACTGTTTGCAGATGATACGATAGCTTACATAAGTGACCCAAAAAACTCTACCAGGGAGCTCCTACAGCTGATAAACACATTCAGCAAAATGGCAGGATACAATTAACTCAAAAATATCAGTAGTCCTACTATATACAGATGATAAGAGAGTTGAGAAAGAAATCAGAGAAACATCACCCTTTACAATAGCCACAAACAACATAAAATATCTTAGGGTAACACTAACCAAACAAACAAAAGACCTGTATAGCAAGAACTTTGAGTCTTTAAAGAAAGAAATTAAAGAATATAGCAGAAAATGTAAAGATCTCCAATGTTCTTGGATAGGTAGGATCAACATAGTAAAAATGGCAATCTTGCCAAAAGCAATCTACAGATTGAATGCAATCCCCATCAAAAAAACCAGCACAAGTCTTCACAGACCTTGAAAGATCAATAGTCAACTTTATATGGAGAAACAAAAGACCCAGGATAGCCAAAACAACCCTGTACAATAAAGGAACTTCCAGAGGCATCACCATCCCTGACTTTAATACATTTCTACAAGTCAAAAGTCTGTCTTCCATTGTTGACATTTTTTTCCCTTTTTGGAGACAGGGTTTCTTTGTGCAACAGCCCTGGTTGTCTTGGAACTCACTCTGTAGACCAGGATGTTTTTAAACTCACAGAGATGCTCCTGCCTCTGCCTCCCAAGTGCTGGGATTAAAGTTGTGCACCACCACCTCCCCGAGATAGTTCATAAAAGTACTAATGACCAGTTAGAAAAATGGTTAGTGTTTCTGATACCTAAAAACGATCATAGCCTTTGATGTGTCTCAACTGTCTAGAGAGGCTGCTGTGTGTTTTGCCTGATCAGTCCCTGATGGTCAGTGTTTGAGAGGGAGAGAGGGACAGAAGACAAACAGGATAGAAAGAAGACAGATAGACTGCTAGTATTCAGGCATCTATACTGGCCTGCCCTTAGGGTCCTGGCAGGATATGTCCTCAGCTGTTGCTACTAAGAGCACGTCCTGTGTACATTTGATATATTCCCTTATAAAAAGTGGGCCTTGCCCACCTCCCATCTCTCTCTCTTCTGCTACTCTTGTCCCCAGAGAGTGGCCTCTACCCCTCTTCTCTGCCCCCTTCTCTGCCCCTCTCTCTCCTCTTCCAATAAACCTTCTATGTAAGCCCTCTTGTATGGTGTGACTCCTTCCCAACATTTTTTAAAATTATAACACAGACCGAATAGACAGAAGACAAACGAACTGGATAGGCTTGGGAAGAGCTTCTTCCTTGTTACTTAATTGGAACCACTTTATTTGGTTTTTGTTGGTTAGTTGGTTCTGTTTTTTCCAGACAGGGTTCTCTGCGTAGCCCTAGACAATCAGTGTTTTATTCATCAACCAATAAGAGAAATATATATACAGAAGAACATCCCCATCATCTCCTCTTTTCTGTCTAAATAAAAAGAAAGGTTTTAATTTTAACATAGTAAAAATATATAACAAAACAGCAAGAACTATAGTTAACAATATTTAGTCCATTAACATTTGGCAAAATTTAAAGAAAATATTCTATCATCTATCCTATCTTTGTGAGTCTAAAGCTTTATCTTTAGACTCTTTTATCTTTTATCATAACTAAGGAAATCCATAACCGTAGTTATCCATCTTCAACTCCATCAAAGACCTCAGAAGGATAGAATATAAACTCTAAAATTGTCAGAGACATCTTGCTGCCTGGACAGTCACCCAAAGTTCCTCTGTAACGTTGGTGCATCCATCTTCAGCCTACAGGCCTAGAATGTCTGGCAGACTCTTCCTTGAAGCATTAACCCTGAAGAACTGTCCA